TATGGTTATGTAGCAATGGTTTTGTATTTACTGTAATGTGTCCAGTTTATGTAGAGTTTGGATTGTTGACTTAGGCGATTCATACCTCCGAAGCATACCCTTTGAAAATGCTGCTACTTTAGTCTTCGCAGTCTTCGCACCGCGCGAAGCATACCCCGAAGCATACCTCCGAAGCGTACCCCATAGTTGCCATAGTCAAATATCCCGGCCGGAAAGGCAACAAACATATACTCCCATATGTGGAGCATGTCATGAGATAAGCTGAATACACGACCATGGTCGCGGGCATTTTTGGCCTCAAGAAATTTGTCTAAGATCCACAGCGTTCTGGATTGCTCCGCACTCATCGGCTTTGGTGCGAAGGCGTTCGTTAGAGAAGTGCATGTTCGGTGGTTCCTACCGGAGTCGTGAGTTATTCACTCGACAAAGCTCATGGAGAAGGCCTACATTGCGAATGCTGTGGGTACACTGCCACGTATGCCAATCAGATTGTTCACTTTGTGAGAAGATGCATGAGAAGTGGGCACAGCTTTCCGAGGTGATTGGGATGTTGGATCAACTGGTTGATGACTCCAATCCAGACGTAGAGATCCCCAACGGCATCCATGATCTTGGACTACAGAGAAAATATGGTTGACAATCGCCAGGAGAGTAATATGACTGGTTTCACATGGTTGCCCTGCTTCATGACATGGGCAAATGCTCATGCCAAAGATTGCCGAAAATGACACCCTGGAGGAATATTGATGTTGTAGGGACTTTTCCCAGTGCGATGTGAGGGTTGAAGTGGGTGGCTTTCAGCAAAAGTGATTTGCGCTCTAAAGGTGATGCACTTCCCAATGTCGAGGGCTCCTGAAGACGTACAACCTTGGCAAGCTGAAGTGGTAAGGTTCTGTGAGGCTCCAGTGGGCATAGTGGAAGCCAACCACATCCTGTCAAAGTCGGAGATTGAAATGTATTGGCGGCATATTTTGGAAGTAGGACAGGTTGGCTGCTTATAGAACCGAAATTCATTCTCATGCCAAGTCCCAATTCGCTAGGGCATGAGGTCCTGTAAAATTACTTCAGACCTCCCGCACTGGAGGAAATTTGTTGTAAGAAGAATCAACCCACCAGCGGGCGATCCTTCTTTTGTCACCAAGCCTGCAAGGCTTGCCACTTTTGCCAACGCAACAAGCTGGCAAGGCTTGTCAGCACTCGAGGTAAAAAGTTGCATGTGTCGTGGTTTTGTCCTTTGTATTCGTTGGAGCCCCAGCTGCCGGAGCAGTTGACCTAAGCCAGGAGGAAAAGCCAGCACGAGAAGCTCGCTCGCGCTCTCCCCACAAGCCTGCAAAGTGAGAGCATCCACTCGCCGGATGGATTGTTGGAACGTGTTGGTTTTCAGTGGGCTCCAGAGGTCGTACAATCGAAGTTGGTCGAACGCTTGCCAAAGAGCAACGCAAAGTTTGCTGGATGATAATGGATTGGACTTTGAAAATCCTTGGAGAGTTTGCACAGCTGCCACAGGATTGGTGCAGCCTGGAAGTTTGCCACTAACTCTCGCTAGCAGATGCTTTCCGAACTCTCTCCGTGGCCCTTTGCCAGTTGGTCATGGTGCAGCAGACGCAGAAGTTCCCCTCCTTGGAGGCATGGAGCCACATTCCTTACGTGGCACAACCTCTCGAAGAGCACTGTCCAATCCTGGTTGATCGATCCTGAGCGGTTCAAACCAGAGACACCGGCATACCTGAGCACCGTGGTGCGTGCCAGGAGCAGGAACAGAAACTGTTGATGCGACGGCAGGAGGTGATAGCCGAACGGAGGCACTTTGATGACAAAGAGTCAGAAAACCGCAGACATTTGCATACATTTGCATTTTTCATTTGGTTATCGCTGGGTGGTCGTGGATGTTGATTTGACGCATTGTATTTGGACATGAACTGCTCAATGCTGATGTTGTTCCACGTAGCCAACCAATAGAATTGTATAAACAGTCAAAAAGATATCATCCAACCAAGGGTTTGTGCGCTACAGGAAGCGCGACGCGCTTCACGAATACGCTGCTGTGGAGGAGCGAAAATTTGGCGAAAATATGTTCTTTTCATATGTTTTCCAGTAGGTGCAATGCTTTGTGGTACAGCCATTGCCACTCACACTGACTTATCATTTATATAAATATAGTATCATTTAGTCATTTCTCATGTCCAACGGCGGGTGCTGCCTGTCGTGTCAATAACAAGCTCCCAGTCAAGGCCTGAGGTGAGGTGTCGAAGAAGGCTTTGCACATGCTGATCCCGCTTTAGAAGTTTCCTTTGCGCTGTGCTTCTTTCTTGCCACTGAGAAGGCAACGCTCTTCCAAATATGACTACTGCCTGGCCAAGAGATAAACATGATAGAAAAGGACACAATATGTTTGATCCCCTGTCCCGTCCGAACTGTTTCATCTCATGTTTGTTGGTCCACGGCCAGTGCACAGTTTCGAGGAGAGGCGCCTCAAACTGAAGCGCCGAGAGGTTAGTGATGAGGCTTGGCCTTTGGGAATTCTTACATTGCTCTTACAGAGGTATCCAAGTTGTTTTGCAGTTGTGTCCAACGCAGCATGGATTATGCGTTCTGGAGCCAAGCATTTTGGCCTTGTGGATTGCAGGCTGGTTTGTAATGGGTGAGGGCCAAACACTAAGCCTCAGGCAGACCTTGTACACTACAGGATTGTGGATGTTTAATGATTCTGGGCAAAAGTGCTGGGGAGCACCCAAACTACTGTAGATCCATTTTGTGACGAGTGGTCTCCCAGTGCCCATACGTAGCAAGTCACAAGTTTGATCGTGCGACCGATCCAGCTCCTGTCTCAGTTGCAGCCACAGCAGCGCTTCGAGGGCAAGGCTATTGCATGCGCGAATTCAACAGTGAATAAATGGTCCCGGCAATTTTCTCCCAAGATGTCTCCAATTTTGCTATGCTGCATGGCACTGGGGCTCATCCATGAAGGTCCCTGCATGGAAAATACTTATACTTATTATGTCTTATTATATAATCTTATGTATGTATATATATATATATCGTGAAGTGAAGTATGTGAAGTACTTGCCATAGATGTCCTGCGAACCGCTGCACAGGTGATTGAAAGCAACCTTCGCGGACCTCACCCTGGCTTCCAGAGATCCGCAGGGTGAGCGTTCTGTCATTTTCCTGAAGCAATTGGTCAAACCGTTGACAGCTGAAACACCACACCGTGGGACTGGAGTCTGACGAGCCTGAACGGAGGCTAGTAATATGTCATAGTGCCATGCCTAATTATGTATGACCCGAAATGCTCGACAAAGAGGCCAAAATTGATTTAGGGTTGGAGGCCATCGCTTCTAGGGTGGAGGCCATTGCT